TTAACTTTAAACATAATTTTTTTTTGAAGTAGTCACTAGTCATGTTGCATGTTACAATATTTTTTAGGTATCTGTTACGAATTATAAATTTTAAAGTGATATGAAAACGGAAAATCTAGGCGAAAAGTGTTATAAAAAAATTTTTTTTTTGTTTTTCTCTTATTTTTTTTAAATTTAAAATTAAATTTTGTTTTTTTTTTGTTCTGTAATTCACACAATAGGTGGTCTTGTTTAAATTGTTTTCTTTTTTTTTTTCAATTTGAAATTTCTTTAAATCTTTCTTTCTTTTCACGATCACGATTGTCCGAAAAATTTAATTATATAATTTGGATATTATGCCTTTTTTTTAAATGAAAGTGAAAAAAAAATTATTTTACAATAACCTTTAGTAACACAATTGTTATACATATACCAAAAAATAATATAACTGTTATACATACATATATATTTTACGCGCAAATATGCAAGCAAGTGACAGTGACAAGTATGTGATATGAAATTAATAGTTGAATGCCCTTTATAGAAACAATTATAAAAGAGAATCGATTAAAATCTACTTACAGAAAATTAAAAAAAAAAATTTCAGAGAATTTAAAAATGGCATACTAAAAAAAACTCTCAAAAGTTCAAGGTCATTAATTCTTGCTCAAAAACAATCAAAAATGATTAATTTAAATTAAAAAAATGCAAATTAAATTTTTAGATTCGAATTAAAAAAGAAAAAATCAAATTGTGAAAATTTGATCGAATTGATAAAAAAATTTTTTTTTTTGGGTAAAAAATTTAAAAGTAGAAAAAAAATTTTTTTTTTTTTGCAATTACTCAAGATTTGAGAATTAAATGAATAGTTTTTCGCGCTTGAATAAAATAAAGTGCATCGTGTTAAAATGAAAGCATGACAATACAAAAAAAAAAAACAAAAAATAACCGTAAAAATTAACCTAGATTTTAGTTGAAAAATTTTTTTTTCTTTTTTTTTAAGAATTGCATACAAAATTTATGATTAAAATCAGAGTATGAAAAAAGAAAAGAAATGCACAATTTCTCAATTATTGGAAAAAATTGAGGTACATAGGTTATTTTAATAACTTAATATAATGCAGTATATAGCTTATAGTGACATACAGAAGACAATTATTGTAATTATACAATAGAACTCATTTTTTTTGAGTGGCGCTCAAAAATTAAAGAACTTGCTAGTTACTAGCGCCCCTCAAAAAGAGTTGTTCGTTGTAAAATTGAATATACAAAAGAAATTAATTCAATAAATGAATTTCCCTAAATAATAGTTATTTAACTGCAAATCACCAATTTTAAAATAAATAGAGAAAAATAAAAACTGAGACTTTTCAATTTACTCTAGAATAAACCGAAAATTACTATGTCAATTTCAATTAAAGAACTTTATTAACATAAAAATTAAAATTCAAATTAATTCTCTTTCTTTCTCTCTTCTTTACTCTCTCTCTGAATTTAATAATTAATTTGAGATACTTGATCAACCTTACAAATTCTTTTAAATTTAGAAATAAACTTTTAAGCAATTATTAATGATTCTGTGGCTTAAAAAAAAAACTTGCTAAGTTTAAAAATGTCAAAACGTTTTTGAAAGTAATTGCATTCAAGCGACGACAAAGCAAAATTTAAACAATTTTTAATCTAGAAACCTTTTGATAGTGTTGTTGAATCTACAAAGTCTTGGCTTTGTATTAATTGATCAAGTTTTGGCAGAATACTCAATTTGACAGATTTAAATTTGAACTAATTCTTAAATAATTTATAAATCAGGTTCGGAAAGTCAAATTTGAAGTTAAAATTTAATTTTTAAAAAAAGTTAAAATATTTTAGTAATTTAAATTTTTTTTTGTCAAACTATAAAAAGCGTTAAATTTCGAATAAAATTCAAAAATATCATAAATTGATTAAGGCAGTCCTCGTTTTCTTTGAATCACAGGAATTTGTTATGTGTGTACCCGAGTCCAATTTAATTTACTTTATAAACTTAAATCTGTATAATTTAAAAACAAATTTATGGATAAAATAATTAATAAGAAGAAAATCATAATTATTTTATAGTTTAAACGTTCAATTCAAATTTTAAATATAGCAATGCTGTGCTCATGTTATTCATTTTGGAATTAAAACGTATAATCGTTGGTAATTTTATTAATTCAGTTATTGGGAGTACATAAGTATAATGCGGCTCAGTTTCAGATGGGTGATTCTTTTATGTTTCTGTTTTCCGTTAATGATTAAATGAAACTGAATTTTGTTTTTGTTATGTTTCTTACTTATTTACCACTCTTAGGTACACACACACAAATTCATTATATCGGAACTAATTAATTATTCAATAAAAAAAAATAAAGAAGACTGGAAATTAAAATTTACAAAACGCCTCAAATAAAAAAAAAACATTAAAAATTTGTAATAGATTCAATTTTTATAGCCAGTTAAAAAGCGTGTAAAAGGAACTTTTATTGTTTTTTAACTATTTTTTTTTTGTTTTATTCTTTTAGTGTCTTAGAGACTATATGGTTTGATAAAGGAAATTCGATTTTTTTTTGGAAAAAAATTTTTCTTAAAAATCATTTCCTTTAGAAAAGATTTTTATAATTAACAAAAAGAATTTTTTGTTTTTCCAAATTGGATTATAAAAAATCAAAAGATTTTTGATGAGAGAAAGGTGAAAGGTACTGGTTTTTTAATCACTGGTACTGGTATTAAAATTAGAAATATGTGAGATATTAATAAGAAATAATTGATGCGGAACTAAAATGTAATTAATATTTTGAAGATCAAATTAAGAAATTTAAAGTGCAATGGGGCAGAGTACAAGAAATTCAAGGAAAATATGTTAAAAAGGAATTAAGTACGACAGGGTAAATTCGTATAACACTTATATGCTGCGATAAGCACAATGTTATTGAAAAATATATTAAGATTTGAAAATTTTTATTCAAAGGTAATTATAAATTTTGAAAAACAAAAATTATTATTTGGTTTAATTTCCTGTTTTACATTCTATTTTGACACTCTTTTCATATGGTGTTAATGAATGCTTATGTGAGTTGTGAAATGAAGTGTAAAGTTTTCAATACATTGGGTAATACAAAAATTTTGTAGAATATTTTTTCAAAAATATAGAAATAAATAAAATACAAAATGTCACAACCGGGGATAACATTCACCAAAAAATAATATGTTATACATAGATCAGTAGTAATATGTTATACATAGGTCAGATAACTGTTATATATAGGTCAGATAATATATTATACATAGATCTCCCAAGTATCAATAATTAATACGATAATTATTGAAATAAAAAATAATGTTTTCGAAAATAATTCTTGGAAAATGTGCAATATAACATATTGTTAGTATTATGTAAAATAATATTTTCGACAATTTTTTCAATAAAATTACGATAAAAACAATAAATGTGATAAAATTTATTAAAATAAAAATTTAACTAAAATTTTTAAATCAATTTAATAACTAAAATTGAAACTGTTATAATTATGTATAACACTTAAATTATGCATTTTATATATTCAAATAGAATTTCAGGACCATAAGAAAATAACGCAATTGTGACACTTTGATCACAAATTGCAAGCAAAACAATACCTAATCTTTTTTTTTAAACTGTTATACTTATTTTAGAAAAAGTTTTATATCGGTTTTTACTTTTTGCTATATTTAATTTGCAAATAAAAAATTTTATGATTATTTTTCTAATTAAAAGAAAACTATAATATTGACTCGGTTTTTTTTCTAGTTATCAGTATTGTTTTATTTATAGTTCAATGACAAACTAAAATGGGTAACTATTTTTAATTAATAGTTACGAAAAAGGTAAACAAAAAATCAAAAACAAAATAATTTAGTGTTTAATGTCGTTTACAATTTTATGCCGATAAGTTTAGCGATTGTACATTCCGAAAAAAAAAATAATGAAACGTATAGAGCTTTTTGATGATATTTTGAAACTACTATTAAATGAAAATTGTTTAATTTAAATTGTTTTTTCATAGTTAACATGTCGTAATAAATTTAAAACATTAAATATATAAGAAGCTTCAAATTCAATAGTTTTAAAAGTCACATTATGCATTTATTTTTTAAGGCTAATTTTTGGTAATAAATCTTTACTCTAATCGAGCAACATTGTAATTTAATTTGCCACACATCTTGTTTTTGGATACTTATTTAAAAATTTATTTAAATTTTCAATCATAAATTTTAAACAATGAAAATTATTCTGATTGTCGCGTTACATACATATTTGACATTTGTCGTTGTTCGGAATTTGAATGTATGTGACGCGGAACATTTCGAAATGTTCGGAATGTAGTATTCCAATTGCCGACTGATCCGACTGACGCGAGTGCGACAAATACTCGAAAATGTACTTAACGTTTACTTAATTTTTTATGTAATAATTTATGTATTACATCACAAAATTTATTGTTTTATATCTAGATCAGTTTTCACTTGCTATATATTTTTCGACAAACGCCGCTTCACTGCGCTATATGACTGAAATACATGTTCCTTGCTGTTTCTCGAAAAGTGTTACTGCCATCACCACTTAGAATATCAAATTCAAATCGTTCTACTTCGAAATTTGCAGCTCTACTTCGATATTTGTCACTCTATTTCGACATTTGTAGCATTATTTCAACAATTATTATAAGGCTCATTATACTGAAATTCAAGTACTCGAACTTAATATAGTAGTTATTAGAAGTATACTGATATTATAAATATACTTAAGTATACGATATATAAAACTCTATACATTTAGGAACTAATAAAAATCTTTTATATCTATCATTCAATTTTATGAAAGTGAAATGATCGAAGTTGAGTTTTTAAATTCGAAATATTAATCGACATATTACATTTGCTATGATTATTTTTGATCAGTATCTCTATTAATAGCAGTAGAACAAAACACAAAAGAAAAAATAAATAAATGAATAAAAACATACCTTGTGGCCCATTTAAACATTCTAATTCGATTGTATAATCCCAACAATCTAAACTATTTAAATTCATGCTAGTATTACCATTTGTACTAGAACCACTTGATGGGCTAGATGATGGCAATGATAAAGGTAATTTTGTTGTTTTTGTTGTTATATGATGATGATGATGATGATGAAGATGATTTGGTGTACTATTACCATTTGTTGTTAAACTCCATAAACATGTTGAATCATCATCACCATCAACATCATTTGTTATAAATTCAATATGTTGAAAACGTTCACCCATTTTTTTTTTTTTGTTGCTATTTTGCGTTTATTCTAACAATAATATTATTGTTGTTATACAAATTAATTTTTAAGTTCACGTTCAAGTTCACTTTATTTTCATTTATTTTTTTTTATAACTTATTATTATTTTTTAAAAAATAATTTAATATTGATATAGAATATATGATTTTATTGTTAAAATTTAAAATATAAAAAAAAAATTATAACCTTGTTATTTTTTTAATAGTCACATTTTCCAAATTTTTTTTTTTTAATTTAATTTTCAAAATTCACTCCGTAAAAATTTATATTTAATATTTAATTAATTTAAAAATGCATTTATTACTAAAATAGTACAAAATTAACTGGAAATTTAATAAGCAAAAAATTAATTAATAAAAATAAATCAAAAAAATTTAATTTATTTAATTAGATTTTTGTGGTTTTAGTAAATAAAGTGCTATCGAAATTATTCAATTACTTTTTTATTCAAGTTTACTGTTACGATTATAAAAAGAGCAAAACAAAACAATTTTTAAGAGAATGTGTAGAGAGAATATTGAGTGCAAAAATAATTTGGCAATTGTTTTAATAGTTTGAATGCTTTAGATTTAGAACACTATCCTCAAAAATTAAAAAGATTTTTAATACTATTCTTAAATTTATTTAGAATTTCGTGCAGTTTTTCAATGGTGTCGTTCAAATTATAGGAAACTCAAAATTCAATTCATTCTGACTCAATATGCAACATAATTTCTACAAGAGTAAAAAAATCAAAAGGTAGAACAGAGAATAAAAATTCTTAATGTCAATAAAAAGAGGTGAAATTTTTAAGGTCAATAAATTAATGAAAGTGAAATAAAGGAAAGAGACAAACTTATTTGTAAGATAATGCCAATATAGTTGCGATTCGTTTGGGCTTAACTTATTAATCTAAAACAAAAAGTATCTATTTCTAACATTGAATAAATTCTCTAAATTTGCCTAGATTATGTTACAAACAAAATTTACCATTGCAGAAGAGTACTGAAATCAAAAGATCATAAAATACTCTCTCTAGATTCATTGTAACATTAATTTTTCATATTTGTGATAAGACAATCAAATGACATGATAATAGTGAAATTTTGATTATCTCATTAGTAAAACATAAAAATTTTTATAATAATTTTATAGTTTGTGGTAATAATTTCATATTGAAATCTGATAGATTATTAAAAATTTTATAGCGTCAACAGTTGTTATTACAAGTAGCTATAAAGAAACCATATTATAATGTAAAATGTTATTAAAAACGAATTTTTATGCAATTCCCTATAGTGTTAATATAAAAGTATTTTGAAAGCATATATACAGTTATAACACTTTTGCTCATCATATTATAAATGTTATACGAAATAGTGTCGAATCGAATATAAAATGTAAATTTTACATTCACATTCTGTTAGCACCTATAGGTTTTTTTTTTATTTCAATAAAATTATAATAATTTATAATACTTCTTATAAAAATTTTATTTAATTGGCGTATAAAAATTGTTTATTGCTCACAATTTTCTTATTTTTTTTTTAATTGAAATCCTGTAGCGATTTTTTAATTTGAAAAGCTGTTAAAATTAATTTATTTCAATTAATTTTTTAATAATAATACACCGAGAAAAAAAAATAATTTAAATCATCTTAAATACATTTAAGTATTTTTTGTAAATAAAAAATTCTTTCCCCCTTCTTTTCAGTTTTTTTGTATTTTCTAATTCTCCACATTTGCAATAAATAATTATGTACTTATATTTAATTGATTACTGTAATAAAAAAAAAATTAAATAATTTTAAAATGTCGATTTGCATCAAATTCCATTAAATCATCATTACTATCATCACAATCACTATCATGAAAATCATTATTGTCATAGTCATATAGTTATCGCGATTGAGGTGTTATAGATGTTAAAAAAAAAACTCTTGTTGCATTTTGTATAAAACAAAAAAATTAAACAGAGCGAAAATTTAAAAACATACAAAAAAGTTTTCTTTTTAAAAAAGATTTTTTGCTTTTCTATCTCTTGTTTTTTTTTTCTATTTGAAATTAATTCCACATCAATTTTAACTATTAACACGATATCTTCGGACACAAGAAGAAACAACAGTAGAAAAAAAAAGGCTAATAATAAAAGTTAATGATTGCAATTTTTACAATTATGATAAAAAAATCTTTTAAAACTTTTTATAATTTTCTCGGCATGCATCGACAATAGTTTATGTACATAATATATTTTACATCGCCGCAGTAATTGTGTTAGAAAATATTATTGAGTATCAACCGAAAATAAATTTTGAAGAGATGGAAATTGGAATGAAACAAAATGAGAATGGAACAGAATTTTGAATTTAATGAAGAGAATGGAACATGAATCAGAATTTTGAATTTATCAATTTGTTATAAATAGAAAAAAACGCTAGCCATAAAAATAATTCAGAATAATATGTGGTATGTAAGTATAAATTTGTAATTATAAATTAAAATATTCTAATAAGAGTTACATATTCCAGCTTGTAATTTGATGTGTACTCATAATTTAGTAATACATACTTAAACTGGTATACGTACAAAAATATGTATGTAGAGTATAATTATAATTACTTGATTAAGAATAATTATAATCACATTGGAATTAATTATAATCAGAGTTTAATTACTGTCATGCAATTACTTTTAATTGAAATTTATTTTCTTCCGAAATTCACCACTATAATTATAAAAATTAATTTCCTATCCCCCTGTCTATAAAATAATTAATAATAGTCTACTAATCTTTTTTCTAATTTTTAACTGTTATACACAAATTTAATTTTAATTGAACAATAAACATTTTTGGGAAAACTATTTAAAAAATTAAAATTGTAAAATTATTAAGCTGCCGGGAAAGATTCACCAATATTTTATTTTAACACTTGAAAGGAAAAATTATAAGAAAACATAGACAAATCTCTAATTTTTGATCTTAGCTCAATTGTTCGAAAAAAAAAATATGTTTTTTTTTTAATTATTTTTAATTTATAAAAAATAAAGAAATTAATAACACTTTTATGCTTTTTGTTTTAAAATTTTATACTTTTTTTTTTATAAGATTATCTGAATTAATTGAATAATTAATCGCTTAATAGCAAGTAGTTAAGCCCAGTTATATGCACTTGTTATATTTGTATGAATTATTAACAAAATATTAAATACTAAAGAAGTGTGAAGAATTTTTTTATTTTTTTTTTATTTATTTTTATAAGTATAGAAAATTAAAAGTTATTTTAGTTAATATTTAAAAATATTTTAAATTTAATGTGAAAATTAAAACAGATTTAAAATGTTAAGCATACATGAGTTTAGGATTCAATGTATTCGGCTCGCTTGATTTTAATGATAGTGTTTAGGGACAAGTATAGAAGCTGCCCATTTAAAATTCTAACACCTCTGAATTCTACATCACTGAAATCCTAAACTCTTTTATATTTAATTTAATTAAAATTAATTTCCAAACAAATCGGTATCAAATATTATAACAAAATCAATAGGTAAGGTTAGTTGACACGGCTACTTGAATCTCACCCTTACTTGAACTATTCGAAGCCCTTTCTAAGCCCAAGTCTTAATATAATATTTTTTTTAAAACTGTATGTGTAAGAAACTAGATTAATATCCGAACATGAAATATGTTAAATTTCAAAGTTATAGTGAACTTAAAGCCCAATAAATTGAAATTATTCATTATTTTATTATATATATAAAGTGTTGCCGTTAGGATTTTATTCGATTGTCATGTAGCCTCCAGTGTTTATCAAATTTGAATCATTCATTTATACTGACTAATTAAAAAAAAAACAATATTTATTTGACAAAAGATTCATATTAATTTAGAAAAAACGTCATTCAGTTGACATTTACACAATAAAAATTTCTAACCATAAAATTCATTCGTTCTTAAAACTCATTCGCACTTATTAAATAAAATCAATAATATTATTTATTAATTTCTTTAAAAATTCAATATTTTCTTAAATTACTGCATTTATTATTTTAATTAAAAAATTTTAATTTTGAAATTGACTCTTAAAAAACCAATTTTTATAATAATTAAGAAATTTTAAAATTTATTACAGTTTTCCCCCTGGCGGTGAATTAAATTTAATGATTATTTTTTATGGTAGGAAATAAAAAATTATGAAAAAGAAAATTATTTAGTTCATAACTATCATTAGAAGCATAAAACTAACATAAAAATAATTTTAGTACCTAATCGTAATATTTAAACGTTTTGTTCTAAATTCTTTTTTTTGTTCTTTATTACTTTAAATTTCTCTAATGCTATGACATTTTGACGTATACGAAAGAGATTTTAATAATTTTTTCTATATTTTTTTTTTTATACTTTTAAAATCGTTTGTAATTTAATTAACTAGAGTTAAAGATTGTAATAACCATTAAATTAAATAAAGTTATTATAATGTTAATAAACAAGCAAAATATAAGTGCTATTATAAGTACATACCTATTTAATTTTGACAGTTCATTGAACTTTTTATACGTTTTATTACTGTTATTATGACATTTCATTACTATTGTGTGTACAGATGCTCAAAAATGGGAAGAGATAAAAATAATTTTAAAAATTCTTGCAATATATTTATTGCTCTTTAAGATTATGATGATTACATTTGATGACATTTTACAAAAATACAAGTAAAAATGTCAGTTAGTATGATTTTAATTAAAATTTGTTGAAAATTACATAAGAGACTACAAGTATGTACTTACACACATATTCTATGAGTGCATAGCAAATTAACATTGAGATAAAACAATTATGAATAAAAGTCAAAGAACTGTTATGTAATTAAATACAGCCGTTCAATTACAGTAATTACAACGGTAATAATGTTAATGTTTCTATTTTGCATTTTACAGTTGCACTAAAATGTGTAGCTAGATGATTTATGAAACATGCCCATTAACACTAATCGAGCTAAATGACAAAATTTTGAGATAAAAATTTTGAATTGATTTTATATTTAATTTAAAAAATTGTAAATTATAGTTTTCACACAGGATGAACGCTGCAACGT